TATATATATATATTCAAGAATGTTCAGGTACAAATACCGGTATACTTACCTTAATATGGCATTTAGTACTATTCTTTTGAATCATCCGACAATGTAATTTAAAATTCAAACACGTACATTTCTACGGTGTCATATGAAATCAAGAATTTAGGTAAGTGAAGAATGAACCAGGTTGAATCTGGATATGTATATTCTAGTTTTGATTCCAAACTTGACTTACTATCACAGGCAGGAGCACTAGGGTTCCAATTCCATGGTGTCAAGAACGAGTTGGGAGAGAAATTTTTATTAAGAAAACAAGGAAACCCAATTCTTATTCCTAAAAAGAATCCAGTATATTTCTTATTCGATATCTATATTCTATAAAGTACATTTTTACCAACGAACTCCACAACATAGAAATCAAAGTATATCCACAAAAGAAATTTTATAAAATCAACTATATATGTAAGTCTTGAAATTGTTGTTTCTAAAAGACTAAACAAATTACTCAATCACAAACTCATTGTAAACTTATCACAACCCCTTAAACTCCTTTCAATTTACTAATTGTAGTACTGATGATCTTGATCAAGCAAAAAGCTGTGATCATCATCGCACCATATTTTGCCTAGAATATGTCAGCTTTTCTCTTGAAGGCTTCTGTGTCTTCCTCACCGCCCTTCTCGTCGCAAAAGAACGAACCAGGTTGGAACATGATGCATTCTTGCTTTGTCTCCACACTTGATGTATTGTCGTCACAGGCAGAGGCATTAGGGTTAGGGTTCCAATTCCATGGCGTCAAGAAGGAGTCATCAAACTTCAAGAAGGACGTGAGTCGCTTGTAGTCAATGGTTGGTTCATGATCATCATCAAGTGCCTGATCATCATCAGACTCCAAGAAGGATGTCAGGAACTTGAAGTCAATGGTTGGTTCAAGGTCATCATCAAGTTCTTGATCAGCTTCCACCAACGTATTTGCTGCTTCTTCTTCCATTGGATATCAGATGGTGCACTGTAAGTCACTGTGGTCTCGTTTGCTTGGAGAAAAAACTTGATGAAAAAGTTTATATTTCTTGTTTCTCTTAGAGCTCTGGTGCACTTGGTGTTTGAGTTTCCACCCTATTTTATAGAGATGTGGGGTAATTCCTAATTAAAAAAGGTATAGGATTTCTAGGGATCAATCCATATTGGGAGAGGCATTTTTATTACAAATTCTTTGTAATCGGTACAAAAATTCATTCTAAAGAAAAATGGAAACCCAATCCTTATCTTCTCTAACAACTTGTGTGTGTGCATAATTACGTGTACTAGTTTTTATTTGTTAAGTTTCTAATCCATTTTTACAAAATGTATAAATTAAAAAAATACCAATTTTTTTTCTTGCATAACAACTTCGCATTCCTTGTTCAATAATAATTTCAACGAGCCAGAAAACTGTTATCCTTGGTCTGCAAACTAAAGCTATTTTTTAATGAACTACACGCCGTTGGTAATACTATTCTCCTTTATATTGAAAATTCATATATTCAACGTATAAATATCAATTATATACTTTCTTTTCACAAGAAAAAAAATGTTGGTTAAATAGTGGTAAAACGCTAAGTATATGATGTTGGAGTTCATGGGTTGTTTTTGTGATCCCTTCCCTCCCACAACTCCCTCATTATAGCATTTCCGTGATTTCTCGACTTGGTATAATTCCCAAGCTTAGTATTTCTATATATTTGAATGACTCAAATTCTCTGTCCGCATTCAAGTGGGCTTTCAGGGTTTTCAATGATCAAATATCCACTTCCATACTCCATACTCTATGGGCTTCTTTAGCGCTTGTTGTAGTAATAGGCATTGTCTTATAACAGTTTCTTTTACATAGATCCTCTATTGATAATATGGCACGAAAATGAACATTAGTACCTTATTTTACATTGAGTCCCACATTTTTATAATACATATTATGTGTACATGTATTATCATTTTGATGACAACACATCCGTGCCCAAATTGGCACGAAAGAGTCATCAATCCCTAAAAAGCACAAACCTTATATTTTTAATATTTGATTGTCCCATCGCTTTTGTTGTTTTAATATGTTTAAACATTTGTTTTCTTTAAACCATTCATCGGTTTCCTTTTTCCCATTCGGTTTGCAATTCATTGGTTTTTCATTTTCTCAAAACCTGCTACTATCACAGGCAGGAGCACTAGGGTTCCAATTCCATGGTGTAAAGAACGAGTTGGGAGAGGCATTATTATTAAGAAAACAAGGAAACCCAATTCTTATTCCTAAAAAAAAATTCAATATACATTCGATACCAATCAGTCCCGCTCACCTAAGGACCTAAAAATGAGGTCTTGTGAGCAACTATTCAATACAAACCCTTAGATTAATCTAATGGCACAAATAACTAGAAGTTTAAACCCTTATTCATACTGAAAGGTAAAATCAAGAACAGAGAAAGAGATCTTAGAAAAGGGCACTGCAGAATTGCCAGTGGGTTCCTTTGAAAAGCCTAGCTAGTCTTGATAACCAAGAACTTATGAAGGCTATAATAAGAGAAAACTGGTTAAATAGTAACGTTGGCTTCCAAGATTCTTCAAATTCCATGACTGCTCCAGAATATATGGATTTTGATGATAAAGTTCAGGAAATAAAAAATACAGCCAGGCAAGCGCGAGTAGTTGAGGGTATGGACCATCCTTTGGTGGCGGGGATAGAAAAAAAAAAGAAGATGGTGACTGATGAAATCAAATATGTCAAACGACCTTTTAAATGGAGATTGCAGACGAACTAAGGTTGACGATGGGGAAGAAATATGGCTGGTAGGAAGACAATGAATTGAAAGGATCCGAATTGAACTCTGTTTCCCTTATTTATTTTAATTATTGCAGATAAAAATAGTTGAAATGATTGTTTCAGTAAAATAACGAGTATGATTAGGGTTTAAAACTACTTAGTTATTTGTGTCTTATTTTTAGGTCCTTAGGTGAGCGGGATAACGATACCAATATTCTATAAAGTATATTTTTACCAACGAATTCCACAACATAGAAATCAAAGTATATCAACAAAAGCAATTTTATAAAATCATATATATATGTAAGTTTTGAATCTTCCTTTAGGGAAAATAACAATTTTGATTAAAATTTCATCCTAATGCCCCGCTGTGGTATTTGACTGATATTTAATCAATTCTGGCTTAAAATAATTGAAATCACAAGAACGAAATTGATATCAACATCAAACTGATTACAAAAATATTCAATTAAACTCATTGTAAACTTATCACAACCCATTAAACTCCTTTCATTTTACTCATTGTAGTACTGATGATCTTGAAGGCTTCTGTGTCTTCTTCACCGCCTTCCTCGTCACGAAAGAACGAACCAGGTTGGAACATGATGCATTCTTGCTTTGTCTCCACTCTTGACGTATCGTCGTCACAGGCAGAGGCATTAGGATTAGGGTTCCAATTCCATGGCGTCAAGAAGGAGTCATCAAACTCCAAGAAGGACGTGAGTCGCTTGTAGTCAATGGTTGATTCATGATCATCATCAAGTGCTTGATCATCATCTGACTCCAAGAAGGATGTCAGGAACTTGAAGTCAATGGTTGGTTCAAGATCATCATCAAGTTCTTGATCAGCTTCCACCAACGTATTTGCTGCTGCTTCTTCCATTGGATATCTGATGGTGCACTGCAAGTCACTGTGGTCGTTCGCTTGGAGAAAAAACTTAATGAAAAAGTTTCTATTTCTTGTTTCTCTTAGAGCTCTGGTGCACTTGGTGTTTAAGTTTCTACCTTATTTTATAGAGATGTGGGGTAATTCCTAGTTAAAAAAGGTATAGGATTTCTAGGGAGTTCAATCCATATTGGGAGAGGCATTTTTATTACAAATATTCATTCTAAATAAAAATGGAAACCCAATTCTTATATTCTCTAACAACTTGTGTGCGTGCAAAGTACGTGTACTAGTTTTATTTGTTAAGTTTCTAATCCATTTTTACAATTTACAAAAATGTATAAATTAAAAAAATACCATTTTTTTTCCTTGTATAACAACTTCTCATTCCTTGTTCAATATTAATTTCAACGAGCCAAACTGTGTTTCTTGGTCTACAAGTTAAAGTCATTTTTTATTGAACTAGACAACGTTGGTAAAACTATTTTCCTTTATAGTGAAAATAGATACATGAAAATTTCTTTTTCTACAATAAAAGAAATTCTTACATGGTTTGGATTTATGAGTTACGAGTGAACCATGCTGCTGTTTGTTAGATCTTGCAACGTGTCGAAGCATGAGTGGTTACTTGGCTCCACCTAAGCACCACGGTTCTCACCCGATAAAAGCGAAAAGACGAAAATACACCTCTGTCAAGACAGTCTTCATAATACACGGCTGAGATTCGTCATAAATAACACGGCTGGACGGCTGTGATTAAAGTAATCGCGGCTTTTCTCGTATGCGGTTACACCCAATTAATAATTTTCCTCCCCCGAGAAAAGATCGAGTGCTCCTCAGACACGGTCTACCCAAACTTCCCCTCTCTCTCTCAACACACAGAAAAATTACAATCTTCAATTTCGTCGCCGGAGTTGCTTCGCCGGGAAATTGATCGGTCAGCAATCGACGATCGACCTTCTGACTACCTGTAACGGTACGGATACTTGTACCAAAATCTCATTTTTCATTTATAGGTTATCGCATTTACTATCTCATGCCTTTCTGGGATAATTCGATCTGATTTTTCCGGTGAAGAAGAAATTTGGGATTCTTGTATGGATTTTGTTGAAGTTCTTGCGTTTAATTGACGTATAAAAAAATTCTTGCGTTTCTCAATTTTGTATTTTTAGACTTGTCTGTACATTGAACATCTCTATTTGTATGTGTGTATGTGCAGATGGAATTCATCACAGTCCCTTCGTACTGACACTCGTAAAGAAAGAATCTTTGAGGCCTCGACCGAAGAGTGAAAGTGAAATCAATTTACTGTGAAGTAGAAGCAGCAAAATGGTATGTTATAGAAGCTACCGTGTTCTCTTTTTCTTTTCTTTGGCTCTTGAAGTTTTTATTTATTTAGTTTTTTTGGGATATCCAATATGTGGTTAAATTTTCAGTTATATGGGGTTATTCTTTTAGTACTGTAAAAATTCTGAAATTATTGGATAGTCCAACTTGAAGAATAAAGCTTATGTTGAGTTGTTGAATTTTCTCGTGATTTGATTTTAAACAAGACCGTGGAAAAGTTTTCTTTTAATTTTTGAATTGTCTTGAACCTTAGACATCTGTACATGTTTAAATATATTATGGATAAGGTTTTCAAGGATTTTCTGAGTGTTTGTTACTGGCAGTCTTTCCAGAACAAGGGATTTTGGATGCCAAAGGGTGCTGGACATGTTAATGATGGAGATGCAACTTACGGCAACCCTTCAAGAATTGAGCCAAAGCGGCCTCATCAATGGTTTGTAGATGCTGCTGAACCAGAGCTGTTCCCGAACAAGAAGCAAGCAGTACATATTCCAAACAGCAAATTGGGCTCGGGAATGTCAAATGAAAGTGTCTCTTCTTGGGAGAATGCTTCTAACTTCCAGTCGGTTCCACACCAATTCATTGACCGGTTATTTGGATCTGATCCAGCAAGCTCTGTCAACTTTGCTGAGAGGAACGTATCTCCTGTCGGATCAGATAATTGGAATATAAGAAAGGGTATCGATGACCAGTTTGGAGAAGATTCGCCTGTTAGTTTGTCAGTATCTCATGCCATGGAAGATCCTGAAACATGTCTTAACTATGCTGGAATTAGAAAAGTTAAAATCAATCAGGTCAGGGACAGTGACAATGGTATGCATGCTTCACGGGAACATGGTTCTAATAGGGGAAGTAACAGTAACCTGTCCACAAGTCAGGCATTTGATAGGGTAAATGAAACTGCTTTTTTATCAGTGGGGCAGGCCTATGATAAGGAGCATGGCAGTGTCACACTAATAGGACATCCGTACAACCACGGGGATGCCCATGTCAGACCAATAGATACCAACTATGGCAAGGGAGATGCAAATGCAATATCAGTGGGTGACAATTGCAGTAAAGGGAATGCTAATATGATATCTTTTGGTGGGTTTCCTGACGAACAAGATATTATCCCCGTAGGCAGGCCTGTTGGCAACTATGATCAATTGTACCATCCGGATTCAGTTCAAACATTGGAAACTTCATGCGAGAAGGACTTGGATGTATCAAATGCCAGTGCGGTTGATAATACTGCTTCTGTAGGTAAACCAAGACCGGAATCAGTTTCTAAGAATAAACCTGAGATCAAACTGTCAAGGAAACCAGCTCCAAACAGCTTCCCCTCAAATGTTAGAAGCTTGATTTCAACTGGCATGCTTGATGGGGTTCCTGTAAAATATGTTTCCTTGGCACGTGAGGTAAGGTCCAGCTTCTTGTCCATTTTATTCAATTAGGATTTCTGTTTAATGACTTAGGGTTATATCCCTCCATGTAACAAGGAGCTTCGCGGAATTATAAAAGGTGTTGGCTATCTATGTGGGTGTCAATCATGTAATTATGCTAAGGTAGGTCTCCTATCAATAAACTCCCAATCGTTTCTCTTCTCCCTTACATGTTATCTTGGCACCTAATGCGGAAATAATTTGTTTTGTGGAAGGTTCTAAATGCATATGAGTTTGAGCGCCATGCTGGTTGCAAAACAAAGCATCCAAACAATCACATATACTTTGAGAACGGGAAGACCATCTATCAGATAGTGCAAGAATTAAGGAGCACCCCTGAGAGCTTGTTATTTGATACACTTCAAACTGTATTTGGTGCTCCGATCAATCAGAAATCTTTTCACAGCTGGAAAGGTAATAAAATTCGAATTATTGTTTTCTTCTTTCCCTGGCTTTAAAACATTTTCAAGCTTTAAATTGTCAGTCAAGTGAGCCTCTCTTTTCTTTTTACTTATTTAAATGTTTGTTCCTCAGAATCATTTCAAGCAGCAACTCGTGAACTTCAACGTATTTATGGAAAGGAGGAACTGAACTTGTAGGAGCATATGTATAGGCTTTGCTCAGATTATAAGATTGGATAATGTTTTTATGCGCCGGGAATATTCACTTTGGTAAATTATGTATTTTCTATGGAAAATTGATGGAGGAATTGACACTTTTTTTGTTTATATTGGGTACAGTAGTTTATGTAAATGTGAGTCTGCTTCAATTCCCCTTGTCTTTTTGCTGGCATAAGGGAGACTAATAAACAAACGGTGTAAGTTGGCGCTATGCTTGTCCTTTATGGTGACTAGGCTTTGTTAGCTTCAATAAAATTCTCTCTGGCATTGGCTCCTTGACAAAAATCCTTCTCATCTGATTTTGTAGTTTAAGCTTTCTTGAACAGCTTAGTTATGTGTTGATCCATAATTTCACAAGGGTCAATTTAGTGAGCCCTCTTTACTCATTTAACCCATTACATTCAAACCTTACACCTTTGAAGGTTTAAGAAACACCTCCCTTTCCCTCACCCTCTCCCTCCACCCTCAGCGTTGGTTGTACTATTGACCCTGGTGATATCTAAGCCTACCGCAGTGGTCATGGTCATTTTGCCCTGGAGTTGGAAACCCAGATTAGGGGAAGCAATTTCAGTGAACACTGGGAATAATTGAAATCTAATGGCTTTAGCGAAGCTCTTGCAGAAGCAGCCTCTGTTTGAGGCAGAATCTCTATATTCCAAATTTCTAATCTAATGCTGAAGATTACGATCAGGGTGCAAAATGTTATAGAGAAATAGTAAGAGCTTGCATGGTCATGAAGTGAAAAAGGGAGCGCCGATTTCCCCAAATCATGACTGGTCTTCCTCCACCATCATAATATCAGAAGCATCATTTCCTCCCCAAATTTTGGATATCGAATTATTATTAGTAGCCTTACAAATTGTACAAATTCGGCTGCAAGGATTAATATTTCCACATACGAAGATCCAAATCTCAGATAATAAGCATCCATCTATCTTTAACACAAGCACTGTAAACAAAAATGTGTCTGCCACAGGTTACACGTCAATTCTTTACCACAAGAAAAATCTGAAACAATAAGAAACTACCTTTCACACACTAAGTTTCAAAAGAATGAGACGAAAGAAAAAGGAAAAAAGAAAGAGAAGATTACAAGCACCATCATATTGTATTGTCATACAATTAGTTTTTTGTCTTTTCAAACATTGTGTAAGCCTCCAATGCCCCCCCTTGATCACAATGTAATCAACTTAAGAACCACAGCAAGCTGATCTTTGTGCAGCTTGACCAGCCCCAGCTCCCTGATCTGGTTGGTTGATCTTGATCGTGGTAGGCTACAGCGACATTATCAAAACAAAGTCAGTCAAAACCTTAAGCAAGTGAACTTCAAATTAAAAATTGTAATTTATATCCTTCTAATACAAAATAAGGAAAGCCGTAACAAAAAATAAAAGAAAATGAGGAAAGCAATTAAAATACCTCAGCCCTAGTGTCAGTGTCTGCAAGCCGTTGCTTTATGTCTCTTGCTATTGAAAAGAAAACTTGCTCCACATTTAGATTCGTCTTTGCACTCTGCATTAGACAATATCTTTCAATACATATGAACACTTGTTAACTATTTTCTACAATTCATAGGCGTTACTTACAGTTTCAAAGAACTTGATGCCATATTCGTCAGCAAGTGCTTGGCCCTTGGATGTAGGCACAGCCTAAAAAGAGGGTGGTGATAAGATCAGGAATGGCACAAAGATTTGTTTCCAGAACTAAATAAAATCCAAGAAAAAATAATTTGACCCCAAAAAGAATAGCCCCATTTACTCTAAAAGAAATCTATATGGTAAGCTGAGCTGTGATATCAACAAGCATCCAACATGCAAGATAAAACAAACTTGTCCGATAATAACTGAAAGCATTCTGAAGAAGAATTGGTGTCTTTTAATGATAAATTTCAAGCGCAAGCTCACCCGTTTGCTTTCGTCCATGTCAGCCTTGTTCCCTACGAGTATTTTGTTAACGTTATCTGATGCATGCTGTTCAATGTTGCGAATCCAATTCCTTATGTCTGAAAACATTGACAAGCCAGGTAAATGCAAACAATAGTAAAATCAAGAAATTAAAGAGCAGAAAAGAATTGACGTTCAAGTAAAACCAAGAGAAGCAGAGAGGTAGATGATGATGGATAAGAAAACATCAGTAGAGCAAGGGTGAGAAATTTACTATTGAAAGATGATTCATCGGTAACATCATAGACCAGCAAAATGCCCATGGCTCCACGATAGTAAGCTGGAAGAGAAGGAATAGTGAATAGAGAAAACAAAATTTGGTTAAACATAATAATCTTTACTAATATCTGCAGCACCAGAAAGAATGGAACAGACACACAACAAACAAGCAGGGAATACAAAGATATACCACCTAACCTAATCATTTTACTGTTAGAGACCTACATCATATAGGACTCACTTATCAGTTATGAGGAACCTCTCAAAAATGTCCTGATACCCATTTTCCAAACATGTTCATCACAACTATTGCAAAGGTTTGCATAATAAGGTCATCCACTATGTATAGGCTTCTAGCTCTAGGTTAAAAGAAGATGGGGTACTACCAGGCCACTTCAATGTGCCTCGGCACCCTGCCACATGTAACGGACTAAGCCAGCAGCTAGTTAACAAATTATAGTTCCATTAACTAAATAAATTGCGAGATCTGGCCAGATGGGCTTGTGAATTCTAGGCTCCACCAGCAACAATTGAGGATTCATTACACTGGCCAGATGGGCTTGTGAACTCTAGGCTCCACCAGCAACAATTGAGGATTCATTACATCGGTCACCCAGTTTTTTTATTTAAAAAAAGTAAAATTATTCAATGCGAATACTGTAAAAGGTTCCCCATTGACTTTGCAGCAAATAATGAAAGGCCTTCTGCCCAATAGTGATCAGGAATAAAAGCTCTATATTTGACTATCCCTGCCTGTTTCATGCTTATTTTTGGACCACCTTGCCCAGCATGCCTGTTTCATGCTAAATGCCAAATAACCTACATCCATTTCTTTGTCAAAAACCTATAACCATTACAATGGCCATTTTAAAGTGGTGCATTACCTCTACTATTGGGCTTCCATATATCCCAAAGTGCCCTTTCTTAACAGCCTACTCATAATCCACCTTTTAAAAGATCCCTTGGTTTGCCCTGTTCTCCTCAAATCCACATTATTTGGTTTCAAACACCACTTTGTTCAAGAAGCCACAGTTGAACTATCTCTTTTTTGTCCATTTTTAGGGGAAAATGTAGAATTTAATAACCTTGTTCCTGAAAAGCTCCAAAAGGGTGAAATTAAAATTGTCTAAAATCTCCTGTGCGTCCATCTTCCATCACGTGAAGCGTGAGCTATAGATACGTTACCACCAATCTTTTGTAAAACAAAAAAGAAAGCACCTATAGAGATTATAAATTTTTACCAGTGGTGATTGTACGGAACCGCTCCTGACCAGCTGTATCCCAAATTTGGAGCTTAATTCGTTTTCCATCAAGCTCAATAGTCCTTATCTTGAAATCAATGCTTCACAAGGATAAAGGAGCTCATGAAGTTTAAGAAGCTTCTGAGAAGCAGAACTTATCAGATACAATTAACTCTAAAGTTCAGAGAATACACACCCAATGGTTGTGATGAAACTAGTTGTGAAGGAACCATCTGAGAAGCGCAAAAGAAGGCAACTCTTACCAACACCTGCAAAAATAAATTTCCATTTTCACGAAAGGCACTTATCAAATTTAGCATTGGTTATCTACCAAGTACATTATTGTAATACAGAAAATTGTAAAACCAATTGATGCAGTCATCATGCTAGCAACTGCGTCAAACAAGAACTATAGTCTTCAACTTATTGGCACATAATACTTAGTTGGTATTTGATAGTCTAAACATATTGCAGAAAGAGCTCCATATATGATAGATAAACAGGTTAATAGCCTCCACATTGTTTTCAGCAATCTATGACAAATAATTGAATCATCCAAGATAAGTTACTACACACATATGTGACCCAACTAGCAGTACATTAGAAGTTCGAACCTCACCATGAAGAATAATAAAATAATGAAAAAACAATAAACACAAATGGACGACTTATTTCGACCAAAATATCTGATTCAGAAGCTCAAACAGCTATTTCACAAATCAGACTAAGATTAACTTATATTCAAATGCTCCACACGCTTTGACTCCAGGAGCTCATAAATCAGGCAAAATCAATTTCAATCCTCAATCAAACCAGATCTAAAATCCTCAAAAAGAAAACCCCTTTTTTTCTATGTACTTTTTGATTGACCCCCTTAGTCAATAAATCTTAAAGCCTAAAGCCAGGCTCTTGTGATCTCAATGGCAAAATGTCACAACTTCTGAATACACCACACGCCATAGCATGCTAGAAATTCGTACAATACAAACACAAAAGCGATCTAAATAATGGAGGTCTGTTTGTTGGTCGAGAAAGTGAGAAGAACACAAAATGAAAGGAGAAAAGACGCACCGCTGTCGCCGATCAACAGAAGCTTTATGAGGTAATCGTAATCGGCTCTAGCCCTTGCCGGTGGAGCAGCCATTTCTGGGTTTTTATCTGATCAATGAACTCCAACAAGTATGTATAATCAAACCCAAATACTATTTCTCTCTGCATATAGAATCAAAGAGAAACGCATCAAAACCCAAAATATTCATCCAGATAATAAAAACGATAAGAGAAAAAGAAAAAATAGAGATTATGGGAAAATTAACAGCAGCAAATACCAGATCAACCAAAAAAGATTCAGAGAGAGAGAGGGAGAGAGAAAGAGGGGGACTTTGGCTGCCAAAATTAGAGGCAACCTTGAGCGGTTCACAGACCTAACAAAGCTCCTCCTCCGATTATGGTGGGTTGGCTAATAATGCGCACTCTCTTTACCTTTTTCACCCTTGCACACCATGCGCACGCTAGCAGCTCTCTCTCTCTCAATAATAATGTACAGAAGAAAAATTAGAAGCACAGGATTTATTTATTTAGAAATTAGTGAGACTGGAAGCCAATCAGCATTTGACAGGTTCAAAGCTGTTTCGCATGCCACGTGGCGTGAGTTTAGTGGCTGGTGTTGATGAAACGGGTATAACACTATTTTGCTATTACCGGC